AGCTCAGTAGTAGATAATAACCACTCATCTAAACATATATGTTCAGAACATGCTGATATAGAAGAATTCACAAGAAATGTGGTTGTTATGTTTGATGATCGAATTCGGAATGTCTGACTCTCACACGAAGAAACTATCCAAACTGCTACCCGTTGCTTGAGTTTAAATTAAGTTTACAAGGAGGTCTCGGTCAGATAAGAAAAATTCTAAAAGAGTTCATGTCCATAGGCTTATAAAACCGAGTTATGACCATTTTACTGAATTTTCGATTCAGCTTTAAGTATTTACTGGAAAACCAAATAATGAAATTTATATTGAATTTCCAAGTGAACTTGATTTTTGTTGCAAACGACCATTTTTTTGAAAATTGGGTATCTCGATAAGGAAACATTCTTTTTGGTTGAAAATTGCAGAATGTTTTCAGAGTCGTCAGACCTATATATGTATAAAGTTTCAGGTGGAAATTATGTTAGACTTCTCGATAAATATCCAAAGTTGGATGGAAAATTTAGTGATGTTATTGATACTCTAGACATTATTGTTTTTAAAATAATTTATTCTGGATTTTTAAACTTAGTACTTTTGTAACAGCATAGATTTAAAAAACTCTCATGCCATTAACGTAAAGCTCATTAACAAAGTTTTGGATTGTTAATTGATATGATATTTCAAAGTCATAATATCAGATCAGATCAGAATATTCAACTAGTATAACTCTATGCAACTCCATAGGCACATATAAATTCATACACTCAAAATATATTAACTGTCATTATTATCTTTCAATTAATACATCCTATAAAGAAAATGTCCCTATGCAGTCTTTAATAACGTCAATATCCAACAAATTTCTCTCGACATGATGGATCCCTCAACAACAATGAAATTCAGTGAATAATGCAAACTGTCGCCATCGTCAACTGAAAAGTGACGACTGGAGGCGTCAGAAGCATTCATACTGATATTCATATTCAATAAGCTCTCAGTAAATATGTAAACGATAAACTTTGTGTAGATTATCAAGTATATCATTGTGAGTGGGTCAAAAATTTGATTATAATAAAACAATCTGCAAACCACTTTATGTAAAGTACAAATGGTTTCTCGAGAATGCTTTGCATCAAAACCTCAAATCTGCTGTTGCTCAATATATGTTTTAGAAACAACAGAATCTTTCAAATTATTCTATCACACAATTTGTAAACATTAGAGCTGTAACTAAATTTATTTTTATACATGAAAAGATATATGAAGATCTACTTTCAGTTAATATTTCAAATTTTGACAACATCAGTTTGACTTGAAATTAAATTCGTAATTGAAATTACGCAATGAAATATGGTAACTTGATAACTGTTAGCTAGATATTCATAAACTCTCAAGATAAGTACAATGCTATAGAACAAGCAGTGTCTGGTATTTTTATAAATACTACAACAAGAAAGGCATCTCACAAAGCTACAGCTATGTGGAAAATTTTCTGATGTTGATTGTTTCTACCCATGTAACAAAATCGACCAACCCACATCCTTAAGAGTGACTTAAATTCAGAGCTATAAAAGAGTTCTATCAATATTATATATTAAAACTGAGTGCAATCTGAATATTTAGATCTAGTATGAAATTCGACTGTTGATATCTTTTATATATACCTACTTGAATATTTTATTTTTTTTTAACATTATAAACAATAGCCACGAGATGACGAAATAATCTCCACTAGATTTATACCGGTGACTGGTATCGTTCATTTATTCTAGTTGTGATTTTCGCACTGCAGTTTCAAGAATCTTAAACTAAACACGCTTGTTCATGAAAATAAGAGATCAATAATCACTTGTTGTTACTTTCTTATGACTCTCATATTAGTCATTTTTGTCAAGTGAGATTTTTATTTCATAGTACAAATCACGATATTCAACGAAAAGAAAATCAAGTCTAGAATCGTAATGGTTTCTTTCAGATATTATTTTCAAAGCGAATTGAATTCCTAATTTAGATAACTTGTCTTGTTCAATGAGATAACACGCCTATGGCTAGAAATGTAAGACCATTGGTTGAGCTGCCCTCACTGCCACCACATAAAAATATATATTATATTTATGAAAGCTTTCAACATTCAGGATCAATTTTTAGAGATTTTTTTGTCTAGTTGTGGTCATACGTTATCTAACTTCATGGAACTAAGAAAATTAGTAAAAACAAGTATTGAAAATTTTCAGTCATCACCGAAGTCTGAAACATTCATAGTCGCCTACTCTACTTGTGATTGGTTTAGTTCATCAAAAATTAAACACTAAATGAATTTTTCTTATCAAAGTTCTATTGACCGACATTGCTCACTGTAAAACAATGAATGTGAAGGAGTTGACTTACAAAATATTACCTGTTAAATAAATGTTACTCAATATAGATCTATTCAGTTTTGTGTGTCAGTTGATCGAAAATTGCATAGCAAAAGGGTATTTTCAAAAGTAACTTTGTTCATCTTTTATCAAATAGAAGCAAAGACTGCAAGTGAATTCGATAATAGAGAACTCTATGACAAATGAATAGTTCTTTTCTCACTCTTATTTTCTCACTGTAATGCAAAAATTCTAAACTAAGTATATGATAAGAGATCATATGTCAAATGAATGCTTCTCACCATAGCTTTAACAATGACTAATATTCTCATGACCAGAAAACGTATAACTTTCACGTTCCACAGGTTGTTTCTATTGCTTAAAAGTAGTTTTGTATCACTGAATGCGTCAAAAAAATCTTATCGATAAACAATGCATCGTGCCACGCACCATTCTACCCTAGTTTCACTCGTGAATCTCGGCAATTCTCTTAATTTTGTACCAAAATAATGCATTCTTTGCCAAAATGAGAATTTTTTTGGAGAAAATCTTCAGATCGTAAAAAAAATTACGGTGCTGTCAGTAGTCATAAGCATCAAATAACGCAATGAATGAGCTACAGAATAGATGTTTTTCAAGACCTCATCGCGCTGCGGAATCGACTTTTTCTTTGAAAAGTATTTCTTGTCTTACATCGATGACTAAATTTTGAAGGTCTTATATCGAAAAACATATTGGTATCGTATCGAAATATCTATACATTAGCAAAACCAACCATTTTAGGATAGAAGCCTGATTGTTTGAGAAACCTTTTAGTTCAACTTCTGTTTTACTGATGCGATAAAGCACTGTAGTCAATGATAGACAGCATATGGAAAAATAATCGCTTAAAGTTTCAGCGTCATCAGATTAGAATCCTAGGTACCATTCGCAAAATACGAAATATTTAATGTGCGGTCAAAATTTCGGCTCGCTATTCACTATTTTTCTATCACATTCACTGTTTAATTGAACTGATTTTGATATAGAACGAAACTTATAAATCAATCATTCATTTTCAGTCGTTTTCTATTTTCAAAATAGTATGACAAATTCATCTTAGAAATGATTTTTGTATGATGATCGACATATGAACAAAGTTTTAAGGGGCGTACTTTTCCAAGATTTGAATTAACGTCTTAAAATCTTATTATATTGTGAGATAGACTAAATATACATCTATCCATTCCCATATTTGCACTTTGAAAAAGAGAACTTTCAATTATATCTGCTGGATTTCTCACTGTGAACGATGTTCCTGATCATATTTCGCTTAGATTCAAATTTCAAGCTCTATCAATAGCTGATATAAGACAAAATTATTGGTATCGTTAGACACATTTTGTCTTGTAGTTTATAATTTTCTATAAAGCAGAAAATTTCTTTTAAATCTCTTCTAATGTAAAAAAAAGTCTTCTAATTCGTATTTCTCTCAAAGGATAGAATCAGATTTATTTACTTTCAGAACTAGATTAATGCACTAGAGACAAGCCCATTGTCTAGAGACAGTGACGAGTGTGAAGATGAAGTCCTTTTCACTTTCTAATATAAACAACCGTTTTCAATGAATAAATTCAGCATGTACTAATACTTAATCATGCATATATTCTGTAAACAAAATATAAAAAGCAATTTCAAATGTCTATTGTTACGATTTCACATTCACTCTTTTCAATTGTCAAGAATACTTTTATATGAACGAAGTCCTCTTGTGTATGTTTGTCTACACTTTCATATCTAACATGTCTCGAGTTCTTTAATGTTTTTTTTCTGTGCCTTTATGTTAAATGAAAGGTCGAGTGATCAGAGTCGATTATTTGCTTGTCTCTATATACTCACACATCATTGCTCGACCTATATGACTAGCCAAGCATTATATTTATTTTGCCTAAAGATATTCATATTATTGTCATTTTTACTTTGTAATTCGGCAATACCGACAAACTAATGTCAATAAAATCAAAGAACGAGACTATTTTATTTTATCTTCGGTCGTTAGTACGACTTCTGTTTTGATGTCAATATATATTATCGAATGACACATCATGAATTTACTTATTAGACATTTGAAGATGAGAAAGATTAGCATTTTATACACACGTATAAATTCATTTGAGCATATGTACACCCAGAATATAAATCCATATTAATGTTTATCAGTTTCAATTGCATATAATTTCCTATCACTATTTATTCTCAATGGTCAATTCAAGCGTGACCCATGTTCGAACAAGTGATTACGACGTTTACATGAGATGAAGAGAAGAAAGAGAAGGATATCCTGTCATCAATAATAATAACATATATGTATTCCTTTCTTTCTTCCTTTCTCACCGTTATATATATAGATGTATGAATATATACATATATTTCTCTTTGAACAAATATTCACACCGAGAAAAATTATATTGCATATGCTAGAAGAGAGCAGGAGAGAGAGAGAGAGTGAGAGAGATGAACCAGTAAGATAGAAGAGAAATGGTTATTTTATACCTATGAGCATTATTCCTTTTTTCTCATCGATGAGAAGGATGGCAAACATTTAACCTCCCAACCTATAATGTACATAAAATGTGAGCATAAGTGTAGTTTCATTCTTTTTTTTCTTCAGTATTCATGGCAGCTGCAATACCTCGTCATCTTCTTGAAACATTAGTTAATTGTCCATCATGTTTACAACGTTATACTGAACCACGCGTTCTTCCAACATGTGGTCATACTATCTGTAATTGTTTTCTTTTTTCTATAGAAAAAAAGATCTTGTTTTTTTTTTTTCTTTTGTCAAGGTTCAATCTGTCTTGAAAATGAATGGAAAGAAAAATATAAACGTTTTTGTCCTGTAAAAACTTGTCGAAAAGAAATATGTTCAACAATAAATTATTTAACTGACTTACCATTAAATCAAACCGTTCTTGATCTTATAAAATCGTGTAATTTTAATGTTGAAGCAAATGGAAAATGTCAAGTTTGTAATCAATCTCCATCGTTTGTTAAATGTTCACATTGTTGTTTATTTGTTTGTTTTGAATGTGCTAATCAACATAGACGTGAAACATTAACAACATTAACAAATAATATAAATACATTAGAACAAGAATATTTAAATATGAATGATTATATTAATCATGCCAGAGAAAAATTAATTGAAACACGACAAAAATCTCTTGAAACTATACGAAATCATTATACATGTTTAATTGAAGAATTACGTCATGCACAAATAACAAATGAAGAATTTGTTGAAAGACAATCAATAACATGGAATAATGAATTAGAATTAATTATTGATGAATATAAACCACGTTGTGAACAAATTTCTAAAACCATACAAGAATTACGTACAACAATAACAGATTGGTCAACAATTGAACAATTTAAACAACTACAAATAAAATTAAATCATTTACAAGAAGATATTCGAGAAGCGAATGAAATTTTTCATGAGCATTTACCCAATATGAAAGTATTTGAAGTTGATCATGATGATATTCAGAAAAAGACGAAGAAAATTAATCAAATTGATTCACCATCTCAAACTGATGAATTAATTTTAGGTAATGGAAAAAATCATTTATCCATTTTATCAGGTTCAATACGTATTCAACATCTTGATGGTAAGTAATATGTATAATTAAATTCAGTCATAAAAGATATCTAGTCAGTTTAAGTCATATTGTTTGGAAGAATAAAAGAAAAGAAAATATTGAACGGTTCTATAAAAAATGGTCGATGCGAAACATAAAAGAATAGCAGATTATAAATTATCTATAGTTCATCTTATTTTTGTAGTAGCATATTTGTAAAAGTAAGCATGTTAGTATGGATTTTACTGCATCTCCACACACTCATATCCACATCCAATCTGTGAATTTAATAATATTAATTTTGAAAAAAAAATTCTAGTTCATATGATGTACGTATCAGAAAAACATATACTCCTTTCTGTTGATTCACAGTTTGTTAATGTCATCGTCCGTCTTTTTTTATATTAGTCTAGTTTATTTGTTTGAGTTGAAGCTTTTATTAAAAAAAGCTCTTTTTCTTTTATTATGAATTTCTCGACTAGTTTTTATTTTCTCAGATTGAACTGAAGAAAAAGAATAAGTCTGATCTTATTCGATTTCACATTCTCAGGATGAATATGAGCAGTCAATCATTCAAGGAATCCAAAGAAAATTTTAGTTATTAGATTGTTATCGTTTCCATAGTTTCATTGTAATCTATTCTCTTGGAATAAGATTTTAGAAATATGTATTGAATAACAGAGGTAGAAAACCATATACTCTTGTATATTATTACAAGTACATATCAATTATGTGCATATTTGTTTAACTCAATGAAGAGAAATAATAATATATCTTGTATAGAATAGATATTCAACTTATGAAAAAAAAAAAGTTCTTTGGTGGATGCGCGAGTATGAGTGCAAATTGTACTCGAGAAATGAATGGCACTCTACCGTGCAAAGAAGCATTTGTATAGCTCATGTATCATCATATATGAGTACGCATCTATATCGCCATACCAACATAGATACACCTGCAAAACTCGAAATTTAAGAATTCATGTACTGATATGTACACGTCGATACATGTTATTACATATCAGTACTTGAATTTTAGATTTTTTAAGGGTATATATGTTGTTCTATAAGTATGTACTAAATAGTACATGTACTAACATAGCAACATGTGTATATACGCCTGAAAAACCTAGCATTCCAGAACTCATGTATTGATATCTATCAATTTGTATTGACTAGGGCATGTGCTGTCATGAACAACAGACAAACACATATCAACTTATGAAGTCTATAATTCTAGATTTTTCCAAGGTCTATGTTTTGTTATAGCGGTACATTATATAGTGGTGGATGAATATACATAGCGGAACTTGCCAGTACAAATTATAGCCGTATTGGCACATCTATGAGTTCTTTGTGAATAATTTTATTGATATTCTAAATTATTTCTTTTTATTTGTTCAATATAGATTCAACTAGTTCAGCTTCATCTTCATCAAATAACGAACCAGTTAAACCTTCAACACCAAATCCTAGTCGACGATTGAAAAAAAATTCAAATGGTATTGGAAACCATTATAAATCCCTAAATACACTTACTCATCAACATCATTCAACAAACACATCTAATGGTAGTACTCATCATAGTATTTCACTTGAACATCAACAACAACAATCTTCATCGCCACGAATTACGGGTAATCACCGTTCTCGTCCACCTGTTTCGAATCATTCATTATCAAAAGTAATTTCTAATTCTGTTGCTGATCTTTCTTTATCGATGAATAATTCAAAACTTTCTTCAACAACCATTCGTGCATCAACATTTCAATCCAAATTAGATTATTGTAATAATGAATCTTACAAAAAGATTCCATTATCGCAAAGTTATGATTGGGGAATATTAGCTATAACAAATACAGACTTAATCTTACTTTATAGTAAAGATAAAAATTCATTAGTAATATTTGATGCTAATGGACATGAGAATGAGGTAAAGACACAAAAAGAAATATTCATTTCAATTTTCATATATATATAATTATTTAATTTCTTTAGAGAATTCAATGGTCAGATGGCGAAATAAAAGATGTATGTATTTACCATGATGATAGTATTATTATCATAGGTGAACATAAACAAGCATCATCGAAACCACTTGAATGTAAATTATATCTATGTAATTTAACACGTAAACAGCTTGAACGTGAACGTGTTGTTGAACGTGGTCTTAATTTTCAACGTGTAACATCTGATGAAAAATTAATTTTTTATGGTTCAGAAAAAGGTTGTAATAAATCAAAAATATCAGTATTTGATAATGATTTACAACTACAAATAACATTTGAGGCTGGTGTTGAAATACGAAGTTTAACTGTTGATATTCAATATTGTTATATATTAGGAAAAAGACGTGAACGTGAATCAGGAAGATATTTCGTGGAGAAACATCAAAAAAATGGTGAAAATATTGTTTTTTATTTCTAGTTATAAAGTCTGACAGAGCTTTTTTTTTATTTTAATAGGTCAACTTGTTCGTCGTATTGATTTATATGAATTAAATGTTGATAATATGAATCGATTAATTATTGATCCAATCAGTCATGGTATTATTGTAACAGATGGAGGAAATAAGAAAGTTTGGGCGATCGGACCTGAAGGAGAAAAGAAATCAGTACAATATCGACCATGGCGTAAGACATTGAATTACATAAATTTTTTCTTGTCTATGAAAATTTTTGTTTTTGTTTTTAGCATGGAGTGTTGGGTTTTTAACAACAGATATATTAGTTATTTTACATGCTGGATATTTAACTCTTCATACCGTTAGTCATAATAAACAAATGAATAATGGAACTAAAATAAGAAATATTATAACGAATGCAGAAAAAGTTTAAATTTAATTTGTGTAATTTTACAAGCTTAAACTGATAATCTTCTTTAGTGTTACAAGAATTGTTTTTCTTTTATCTTCTTTTTAGGAGTATATGAAAAAAATTTTTTTTTTTCCGTTGTCTATAATTGTATATTGTTGTTTGCGATTGTCAAAATATTCATTTATTCTAGTAATAAACAAAGATGATGATAACATTAAATATTAAAATAGATTCAAACAGTTTTCTTAAATATTTGAATTCACGTAATTTATTTGTAATCATATTTTCTATTGTATGAACGAAATATTCATCGACGTATCTTTCTTATTAGGTTGTAAAGATATATAGAGCCGTATTTATTCCTTCACAACCAGCAATTACTGACATAAACAGAAAAATGTTAAATTTCATTAAACATTCTTAAATCATGGTTTTCTGGTTTGTGACGAACAACAATTTACAGCTTGCAATGGAAATTGATGCTAATTACACGTTCAGAACTATGAATCATGTTGTCTTCATTCAGTTTTACTTTTAATTCATTTTCTGTTTCTATCATGTTAAATCCAGTTTCCGTTGTAAGAAGAAACATCGATTTTTTTTGTAAACAAAATCAATTGAAAAGTATTCGGACATTTACTAAAATATGTTAGTTTTCATAGTTATGTCAAGAACTATAAAATCACATGATTGAATTATATTGACTATGAATCTCTCAAAATTCATCGCAATCAGAGGTAACCATCAATATGAAAACTTAAACGGTTAAGTGAATGTTTTGAAAATCGATAGTTACAATGGATAACTTAGATCAATCAGGATAACATTGGATATGGAATGATAGTTCTTTTTCTTTTTTAAATTTAGCAAAAACATGTCTTTTTTCTTCGTGTTGTCTTACTAACTGAGTTAAGTGTATGTAAAATTGTTGATGTTTTTTTTCACTCTCATTTCTTTATTCATCCGTTTGCTTTTCTGTTTGTTTACCCTCTCTGAACGAAACGTTTTATTGAAAGTGCATATAAGTATATTGTTTTGTTTGTACTGATTTCAATGATTCTTGATTCAAGTATCAGCAAGCAAAAATTATGCATGGAATGAAATTTTCAGTATGCTAAAAAGAAAAAATTCACATGACGATGAGATGTGATAAAAATAATTATTCTTTCTTACATCTGTTTTATATTACAGTACTTATGAAAGTTCTATTAATATAATAATAATGGCTAAAAGTTTGCGAATAATTATCCATGATATTTATCTCTATGTTGTAATTGAACAATAACTTGATCGGGTGCAATAACGATGTATTCTTTGAGATTTTCGAATGGTTTATGTGTTGGATCACCACAATCGATAATGGAATTTTTTTTCAATGGACAAATAAGTATCGTTTTTAGTTCTATTAAAGCAAATAGCATTCCAACACAATTTCGTGGTCCAACTCCGAATGGTATCCATGCCATTGGATGACGTGTTTTATAGTAAATCGTTCAGGATGAAATACATTTGGATCAATAGGATCCTACAAATCAGGATAAAAATGTAAACGATAAATATCGATAGTAATTGATATACCAGCAGAAAAAATACCAATATTTTTGATATGAAAATTTTCAGTACTTTGACGATTGATTACTATTGGTGTAATTGGATACATGTGAAGAGTCTCTCAAATAAACATATCTAAGTAATTCATTTGTGATACTGTATCGTACAATGGTTCAACATGGTCTGTTTCATCATCAAAATAAGCATCGATATGTTCTTGTAATTAATGTTGTTCATTTGGATGAGTTGCAAGAACATAAGAAACATGAGCAAATGTAGTACTTGTTGTTTCATAATCAGCAACCACTAATATTCAACAATCAGCAGAAGATCACAACTAAAAAACAAGAATATTTCTTACTAAATAGATAAATATTCAAAGCGATTTCAGATATGGTTAGTTTACGAATAATTGGTGCCTCAATAAGTGTTTCATTCTTTTTCAAAAAAAAAAAATGATTCAAAATTCTGGAATAAAAATAACTATTTTGTTGTTTGATAAAAATCAGAGTATCGTACTTGTATAACATCATCTTTTGATGCTGATCCAAGCATTAATTGCATTAAATCAGTTCGATTAGTTTGACCAACTTTTTCATGTTTATCAATCAATTGATATGCCTGTTTTACAATCCATTTAGATGGTTCTTCATCAATAAATTTTTGTTGTAAATGGAAAAATATGTCGAAGCCAATAACTCATAAAATTTTCAAGAGCATGTATTTATACCAAATATTATTTAATTGTTTTATAAACAAAAAAAAGAAGTATCTATATTTTAACACCATTTCTTTGTTAAAAACTTTTTGTGAATAAAATAAATACGGATCATTCACATTATTTTGCATACCTGTGTCAAGACCAAAACCATATGACCATATTGTATCCATAGTAAATCGTTTAAAATAAGCATAAATACCAAATGGTTGATTCTTTTATATTCTTCAGACATTTTCATCATAAATGCATCAATACTTCGATGAATGAGGGGTATCATTTTTTTGAGTTTTGCTGATGAAAATAATGGATTAATTACAAAACGTTGTCGTTGCTAAGGAAGACCAAGAGTACTGAAGATGTGAATATGTATAGCATGTTGGTTTTCAAGTAGAAAAGCACGACGCGAATGAAAATTTGAAAAATATGTTACAAATATATCTTGTAACACGTCAGAATCTGATATCACTAAAATTCGAGTATGACCTTCAAAATAGCCAAAAATACGACCATACTTTTCAGTTCATTGTTTAATTGAAACAGATAATCGTTTAGTCGTAGCAAGATTCGAAAAATTTCCAAAAAAAGAGTGTTGATGAAGGACCAGGAATATTAAGCCGATTGAAGAAATGGTATATCTGTCGAATATGCCATAAATAGGTAACTATAGTGATCAAAAGTGTAGTTATGAGGATGCCTGTAAGTAATACCATTTTTCTGTTGATTTTTGTCGTCGACGTGATTATTCAAACAGGAGTTTTATTTAGGAGTTACGAGCAATGTTTGCTTTTTTTTCTTTCTCTAGTTTACATTCAATTCAAATACTTTCTTTCATTTCTCATTTAGTAGAGTATTGTTTTTCCCTGTAAGCATTGTTCAAAACATCCTTTTAATTTTAATTTAAATGGTCGCCGCCTTCTTATAAACCAGCAAGTCATACCTTAGGCATAAACATCTTAACAAGTTTACATGCAACATATTATTTATCGTTTTGTTTTACTTTATTACTTGAATAAGATTCAACTGATCAGTAGGTGATTTATTACGATTTGCTTTGATTTTTATGTGACACTATATTTGATCGTTGTCTAACATTATTTCAACGAGAATAACCATTTACATAACTTCTCTATCAGGAATTAGGACATTGTCTCTTACAATTTCGTTGCAATTCTTAGTAATTGCATACGGTAGGAATAAAATTGCTTGTTTATTGTTGGATTTAGGTTTTAAATTGAATGAAAAATATAACTGAACAATAAACAGCTACATATACGTTGTATCAAAAAGAATATTAGAGTAATTACATTTAGGGTCGTGTTTTTTGGTTTTTAGGAAAAGAATTTTGTACATTACTAACTCATCTTGTACAAAAAGAAATACAAACATCTTTTGAATACAAGAGAAACACTTATCATGCAACAGCAAATTATTTCAAAACAAATGAACCATTGAAAAATTCATTTCCACATATTGTACAAATTTTTACATGTTTCATTCATGCATATGGATACAGCTATTTCTTGTTTATTAACTAATTCTCAAACCGATTATGCACATGATGCACTGTTCAATTCTTAACTTCACAATATTTACGAGAAATGGTTCAATAAAGAGAAGAAAATGAAGATTGTTTCCGCAAAGAATATATATTATTTATCATCGTATCGATTATTATTGGAAGCATATTTTAGCAATCACAACCTCTAATGGACTTTCAAAATATCCTAATTGTACCAAACTGACTAAGAATATTCTTGTTATTCTTCGTGTTTTATGCTGATAATGAGCGTAGCTTTACGATAAAGGAGAATCTGGTTACACCAAATCGGTCGATATTATCTGGTTCATCTATTACTAGTTTACAATCAATATAGGATGTCTTAAATTGAAGTACACATACACAAAGAGATCATCAAAACAGTTCATATCCTGCATCTGGCGTACAAATAAAATCCGAGCTCTAAGAAAGCTGTAATAGAACATACATGGATCGACAAAGTTTATGAAGAAGTTTTCCCAAGAAAAAGATTTGCTCAAGAAATAGAAAGGTTTACAATGTCAATAATATGAAGCCAGCTTGGTTTATTACTGATGTTAGTGAACGTTTACAATTTGCACTAAAGAAAAAAGATAGTATTGATATATATAGAGCCACTATATTATTTGATAGTGATGATAGTAAAAGTAAAATGAATGGTGAACATGGCTGAAAGTAACAGAAGAGTTTATTATAATTGAACAAAAATGAAAATACACCCCTCGCAAAAAATTCTGGAACAGTTAAGAATGGCTTCCCAAGTTTTTATATCTCATTCGAATTAAACTTTATATATATGGTAAGCGTACTTATTTAGTTAAGCTTTCATATTATACCATGCAGACGCAAAACTTCTGGTTTTAATATAAAAAAAAAAACAAAAAGAACAAAAATTGTCCAGCAGCCAAAAGTTCTGCGACAGTGTAGACTTCATTAGGAATACTTCTTAAATTAGGGAGAGTGTGGGGGGGAGGTGAGGGTGTGGAAGTCAGTAATAAGAAGAGAACATTAACACCGATACTGACACATACCCACACTCTCCCTAATTTAAGAAGTATTCCTAATGAAGTCTACACTGTCGCAGAACTTTTGGCTACTGGACAATTTTTGTTCTTTTTGTTTTTTTTTATATTAAAACCAGAAGTTTTGCGCCTGCATGATATAATATGAAAGCTTAACTAATAAGTACACTTACCATATATATAAAGTTTAATTCGAATGAGATATAAAAATTTGGGAAGGCATTCTTGAGTGTTCCAGAATTTTTTGCGAGGGGTGTATATACCTCATCAACCATAAATCAAGCGACAGAGAATGTCAATAGATTCATCGATCAGTTTAAATTTGATTTTTGCCTGAAAAGACATCCATAGTCGAATATCTTGTAATTGAGACCTTGTAATTTTGACAAGAATGAGCAAGGTCTTATCAAGATCTTTGAACGATAATTCAGTTGTGTATATCTTGATCGTGTCAGATATATCTTTACATAAGATCTTTGCAAGATCTGTTTAAAGATTCTCACTTGTCAAGACCATGGCAAAGATATCAGTTATTCTTATTTTTTCCGAAGATCTTGAGTAAAACAGAGACGACATCATGAATTTATTTACATATTTAAAAATTCTTTAATTGCTTGGAACTATCCAAAACTCAATCATATAAATTGTCAGTTTCATCGATGTGTAAGAAATATAGGAACAGTGAGGACGCTTGCAAACTAATAAAATTAAAGTTATGAAGAATAAAAAAGGAAGGAAAAGCTAATTAAACATGAAATTTATAGTATGTACTAAGTTTTATTGACTAATCTAGCGTCTATTCATCAAAGATTCGTATTTTATGAGAACATGGTTGACGTTAGGTTATGATACAGGACATTTTAGAATTCAAATGCTTCAGAGCCAAATTTCTTTTGAAAAATGATACAATAACAGACTTTAAATTCTAGTGAACTGGAAGGGGAAGACCAACAATTATTGGATATGTTTTTCTAGCAATGAGAAAAGGCGTATTAGTAATAACAGTGCTTAGATTATGTTCGAACTTTCTAGAATCATTCAAAGCATTCTATGAATCAAAGATTTCTATTGTTGATTTTAACTATTCTAAATACTATGGGTTTTCGTACTTAATGCAAAAAAAGAATCTTATTGTAGATGACGGCCAGCATAGGACAAACATAGAAAAATATGAACTAATTAAATATTAAGTTTAAGAAAAAGTTAGCAATATATGTTACCATTGTCGAGAGAAAGAATGGTACTCGTAAGCTTACTGAATGATAAGTCTATGTATAGAATAGGTTAATATGGCCACTGTATCGATGAACTGGAGAATAAAATGATACTTGTCGCTTCTTATGAAATGTATTGTATATATTATTATTATGAAAAAAAAGTTATTCATCGTCGGCGTAGCTGACAATATAAATCAGTTTTTTTCAGTATAACGATGTTAGATGAATCATATTTTTTAAAATAAATTAGTTGGAATCCCTCTCACAATATACCATAAATTTACAACAGACAGAGCTTATGGGTTCCACACTTTTATCCTTGATGAAGCGGTCAGACCAAAAAGTTTTTCGCTTGAAAAAAATCATTCTCGAAATCATTCACTATATTAACTCTATCTTGTTCGATTAAACTTATAGAACCCCACTATTGAATATCATTTATTTTTGAATACAGAATATAGATATCTAAAACCTGTATGTCGTGTTGTGTAAAGAAAGTCATTTTATAGCCATGTTCCATAGTCAAAACAAAAGAAGTTAGAAAAGCTATTTTTTTAATTCATGATTATGCAAATTTCATCAACATTTATCTATACTTTTGATTTTATAAGCCTATATTTGTATAATATTTTTTTAAATAAATTAATAATAATGATCGTTTTTTCAAGAAAAAGAATCCCGTTCCAATTTTCTGTTTGCAGTATTTAGTCTAAAGTTATGAACTATCATGATTGCCGAACAATGAAAAAAAATTGTTTCGACAAAACTTAGTATAATACGATGATGACTTCAATGGACAAAGTATTTCATCATTAATGACTGTAATTGTTTTCATATATTTTATTGAATAAAAAACATTTTGTTGATAATTTAGGATTATACATAAACAGAAAATTAACAATAGCAATAACTATTTTTCGCAATAAACAACCCAATCAAATGCTATATCTCATGCAGATTACAAAAAAAGTTTATAAGTAATGTTCAAATTATCAAAAAAAGATCAGATTGACATACTCATTGATATCTAAATCACTAGTTTGTATGGACGAATACTAGACGACATGGAAAACATGCATTGATATGCAGTAAGGTCACTCTAATTGTATGACTGCAGTTACTACAACGTTTTTCTATCATGAACGAAATTTAAATAATAGACTTGCGTTTTTTTGAATCATTTTTTCTCCGCTGTTAAGCTGACTAATAACAATTTATCATGAATCTTTCTTTTAAACTTCAAAATTATTTGCAACAGATTGACGCAATTTCATTTATCATAGAAAATAATGTCAAGACAATTCGATTTATCTTTACTAGAATATATACGACAAAACTGTTAACTTTTTTACTTTTTAGTCTTTCAGAGTGATTGAAAAGTACTAGGATCTTGA